GCGAAGATTCAAGAAAAGGCTCTCTTGAGGAAGTTCGGAATGGCGAAACAAGAAAATGGAAGGGGAGCCCCATTTATATAGTGGCAATTTCATCATTGGGCGCGAAAAACGAAACGGCTCATTTAATGCACACGACATCCTAAGTCGGGGAAAACGGCTCGAGGCAATGATGAAGCATTTGTGGTTGTTGGGAAACCCTTCATCTCCTTACGACGCGTGCCCTCGGTGTCAGAAGATCGAAGGCTGGGGGGCAGTTGATGAGACTTTTCTGAAATACTCCATGATGAAGACACGTGTCCTCGGTATTTACCAAAACACTGTTGCTAAGATCAAGCACCATCGGCGCANACTATACAACAGAAGGGTCAAGGCGCGAGAATTCCGAATAGGCGATCTGGTCCTCAGAAGGGTAACGGCCAATACCCGTGATCCAACAGAGAAAAAAATGGGACCTAACTGGGAAGGGCCTTACAAAGTGATATCAATCGGGGGCGCCGGGTCGTACAGATTAGAGAGCATGGATGGAAAACTTGTAATGCGACCATGAAATATTATGAATTTAAAGAAATATTACTTTTGAAGTATCCTCTCCCTCAAGTGCTTGCCAAGGGCTCCTCTCCCCGAAGCATATACAGGAGTAAGCCGCCTCTTGAATGGGCAAGCCACCGAAGACAGTTCCAAAAAAAAAACAAAACACTACTGTACGCAAAAAAGGAAAAAGTACTCGTGATTTATTTCAAGAAGAGAGGTTTTGCGTCCCCAAAGGCTACAAAAGAAAAAATAGTACAATCAAAAAGAAAAAGGGGCTTTCATCTGGCCCCGGGCATCTCCACAACATCAGCCGAGGGCGAGTCAGCATAAAAAGGTTGAGAAGCTTCTGGAGCAGGCAGAAGGAGAGGTACTTCGGCAACAGAGAGACCTTGAGCAACATGAGGATCAGGGGCATGGTCCGGCGGGGCCTCTTCGGACAAGTCCACTATCACTGCCTCGGGCGGATCCGCCGAGACTTGCACCGGCGTTGGGACCTCATCCTCGGCAGCAATCTCTGCTTCGGCCCGTGCCATCTCTGCCGAGGGCACGTACTTGTGCATCTGGAAGAGCGGGGAGTCTGACGGGATTCCAGCAGACTGGAGCGCCTCGTCCCACCCTTTCTTGAAGAACTCCTTGCTGTTTTCCTCAAGAGCAGGGAGCACGTCATCGGCGAACTCTTCCCGGAGTTGCTCCTCCGACTTTCTGTTCAGTGCCTCGGCTCTGATCCTGTCCAGCTCCTGGGTGAGAGCCAAACAGCTTTCCTCTGAGCCAACCGCCCTCTCCTCCGCGGCAGAAAGCCGCCGCGTCTGCTCGGTGATTCTCCCCTCAGCATCGGCAAGGGCAGCACTTAGCTTTTCAGCGCCAACCTTAGCCGACTCGGCATCCTTGAGGAGTTGTTCGATTTGAGCAGCCTGCCCCGCCAGGGTAGAATCCCTGGCAGCTACGTCCTCCATTGCTCGGGCGAGGGCCCCCTCCGCCTCTTCCTTCTGCTCTCGGGCCCGCTGGAGGTCCATCCTAGACCCATGGTACCGCGCAGCTATTATGGAGATCTGTTGGGTAGCCTGCAAAGGAGGGAAAAAGGCGTATCACAAAAATGGAAAGCGAGAGAGAAGAAACCAAAGCAAAAATGAACTTACCACCAGGGAATTCTGGATGATAGAGCGGAACAACACGTTCGTTGATCGCCCCCTGTGAGCCGCCATGTCAGCCTCGAAATGCAGTGTCTCACTCACTGCATTGGCGACATGAGGATCCAGCAAAATGGAATCATCGACCCTGATCACTCGGTTCATGTGATCGGTCGCTCGGGGATTCCACTCCGCGGCTTCCACTGTCGGCGGAAGGGAAGGGGGAGTCTGCTGCTGCTGTTGTTGCTGTTGTCGTTGCTGTTGCTGTTGCTGCTGTTGCGGAGGAGCAGGGGGTAACCCACGGCCTCTCCCGCTTTGCTGCTGAGCGGAAGATGCCCTGGATCCTCTGCCGAGGCCATCGTGCTGATGTTTGACCCTTCTTTCCTCCTCTACCTGAGGATCCAGGTCACGCACTTGACCTCGACTGAGAACTCTTGAGGATGGGGTGGAACTGGTCCCTGCAGATGGGGCGCCGCCGGTCGATCCTCGACCCCTCCCGGCAGCAAGAGCTTGCCTCTGCCTCAGGAACCCCAGGTCAATACGAGGCGTGCTGGACATCGCGACCTCGAGGGCGTCCTCGGCGTCTAGAGATTGTAGAACTTGGAAGTCCGGCCACAAATCTCCTCCCGAAGTCCCCACCTCGGCGTCCGAAGGAACAACGTCCTCTCTGACCCCGAGCTCTTCAACTACTCCCTCTACCTCTGCCTCCGAAGCCCGATTAGGGTCTTCCTCCAAGTTTTTCTCGACCTCTTGCCTCGCCGCCTAATCGAAGAGTTCAGACCACCGCGAAGGCTCAAAAGGCTGGGGAAGCTGTGAAAATTTCTTATACCCGGGGGTGTAATTCAGCAGGATGTGGGCAGCCCGGCCGATGTTACCAGTAAAACTCCAAACCGTGACTAGGTCGGCAAAGTTCACTAGCGACCGAGGAGGAGGAGCTGTTTCCCGAGCAAGGATATCTGCACAAACAAAAAAGTAGTCATGAGCATCGGAAGTCTAGAGAACAAAATAATAAACCCGAAGGAACCGACGTACTTGTCGTTCTCCATTCCAGAGGGCATAACAAGCCGTTATACTCGGGACCAACACCTCTCTGCCAAGATCCCTTGAAAATAAGAATATCGTCCTTGTACCCCTTGTCTGAGTCGGGAAGATGAGTTATAAGGTACATAGAGGGGTCTCTGACTTTGAGGTAGAAGTGTTGGTGAAGCATGACTCTCAAGAGGGAATAACAAAAAAGGAGATCGTTCAACCCAATATTTACCCCGAGGCGCCTATTGAGCTCTAAGACCCTCATTATTATTCTGAATACATTAAGGCAACACTGCCCGGGGAAGAGGCGGAAGTGAGAGAAGAACTGTAGAAGTAAAGGGGGTAAAGGAAACCTAATTCCGCCCTCTATTATGGCCTTGGTATAAAAGGGCATAGCATCCTCGGCCCCGAGGGTAGGAAAGTGCACCACCGAGTCATAATCCTCTATGTCTACGCACGGGGGAATGTCGTACTTGACCTTAAACCTATTAATCTGCTCACCACCCTTTACTTTATACTTCCCCGACCCCGAAGAACCAGCCTGAGGATTCTCGGAAGCAGGGCGACGACGAGGCATCTCTAAAAAAGTGAGAAAGTGGAAGGTGTTTTTTCTTAAAAATCCCTGAGAAAGCTTCCTGAGGATTAGTCGCTAAGTATCAACCGGAGACACCTCCAGTCATCGAAAAACAAAAAGGGATAGGAGGAAGAAAAGAAGAAAGAAACTAGGACTCACCCGAATGCCAAACGGAGTTTTTTCTGNTCTTCCGCTCCCCCAGGGTCTCCCGTTGCCGTTCCAGGTTACCACCGGACCTCGCAGGCTGTTCCAAGCAGCGTGGTTGGTCACTCAACTGGCTCACTCGAGTTCACCAAGGGAGAGATCTGTTCTCGTTTTTTATATTGTGCAGGATCTTGCACGCACATTTTATTATATCATTTATTAAAATAAAATTAAAATTTTATTTTTTTCTTAAAAAATCGTAATTAATATACAATTATATTATCTATTAGAATAAAATTAAAAAAATCAAACTAGAGGTTTAAGTCATTCATAATAAAACATGAATTTTACATCTAAAATTTATGTTATATTATTTTATTTATTAAAATAAAATCAAAAATAAAAGTTTAGTTTTTTTAAAAAAAAAATCATAGTTAATATATAATTATACTATCTATTAGAATAAAACTAAAAAATTCAACAAATGGTCAAATTATAATGGACACAATATCTTTTAACTTTAATTTGGGTAATTTGGTATTTAATTTGGTTGTTTAAATAACTAAATTAAATTCTAATAAACAATATAATTGTAAACTGATTATAATTTTTTAAGCAAAAAATTGAATTTTTATTTTTAATTTTATTTCAATAAATGATACAATAAAATATAAATTTTGGTTATAAAATTTAAAATATTTGATATTTTATTTTTGATTGAAATATTTTTTATCTAAGTATAATATTTTAAATTTAAGGTGATTTATTACAAACTTTAAGGGAGTCTAAATATAATTTATTAAACGATATATTTACACCAGGGTCTAAGTGTTATACGTGTACAAACTTCAGGGAATCTATGCGTAATATTTCAAATATCATGATTTCTGAGTGATTAAGTGACAAACCTCAAGGAATTTAGGTGTTATTCTCCCAAATAAATTTGGTTCTACTTTATCAACTTAATCCAGACATCTAATGTACGCACATATGATTCACTAAACTTCAATGTTTGTCAAGTTGTATGAATGGTTCACAAGCATTCAGGTGAGTGGCATCTTTAAACTTACGACAAAATAGGGATTTACTAGTCACAAGGAAAAAGCATATCCATCGGAGCAGAGTTTCTTACAAACAAGCTTACAAGTGGTTAAAGGGGAAAAGAAAAGAAAAAAGGTTCATGTACATCTCAATCTTTGCGACAAAAGACAATGATAGTTCAAAAGGTTAACTTTCCTTCTTGCTGCTTCTTTTACTTCTTCCTCGCAGTTTCACACCAAGAGCCCTCTCCAGTTTGGAAATTATCTGTTGATTTGGAATGGCCTTTCCCGATTCATACTCTTGTATTATCTGGGGCTTCTCATTGATGATCTGAAAAGGGTATAATCTGAGGACAGAATGCATACATATGAGAGAGAGAGAGAGAGAGAGAGAGAGAGAGAGACAGAGACAGAGACTGATTTGAGCAAGTTGAGACTGGGTGAGTTTCTTATCCATATGAGCCTGCATGATGTTCTTCTTCAGTTCGGTTGGTACCTTTTCATCTGTGCAGGAAGTTGAGACAATACAGGCCATCATAAAATACATAATTTAGTAAACAGTTGCAACAGGGCAACAACTGTGCAGAACCATATCAAAAAATAATATCGAGTGCATCACCCAAAGATTACTAGCACAAACAATGTAATTTTTTGGCTACAATGTCAATAGCACCAGCAGTAATAGCAGTAAGAGCTAGTACTGTGGAGATTTCAACATGGGAAACAAGGGTTTTGATTCTCCGATGATGATTGCAGACTAAAAGGACGAAAAATGTGGAATCTTTTGTCTCTTCCTGGTGTCANCCCAGGGTCTCCCGTTGCCGTTCCAGGTTACCACCGGACCTCGCAGGCTGTTCCAAGCAGCGTGGTTGGTCACTCAACTGGCTCACTCGAGTTCACCAAGGGAGAGATCTGTTCTCGTTTTTTATATTGTGCAGGATCTTGCACGCACATTTTATTATATCATTTATTAAAATAAAATTAAAATTTTATTTTTTTCTTAAAAAATCGTAATTAATATACAATTATATTATCTATTAGAATAAAATTAAAAAAATCAAACTAGAGGTTTAAGTCATTCATAATAAAACATGAATTTTACATCTAAAATTTATGTTATATTATTTTATTTATTAAAATAAAATCAAAAATAAAAGTTTAGTTTTTTTTAAAAAAAAATCATAGTTAATATATAATTATACTATCTATTAGAATAAAACTAAAAAATTCAACAAATGGTCAAATTATAATTGACACAATATCTTTTAACTTTAATTTGGGTATTTTGGTATTTAATTTGGTTGTTTAAATAACTAAATTAAATTCTAATAAACAATATAATTGTAAACTGATTATAATTTTTTAAGCAAAAAATTGAATTTTTATTTTTAATTTTATTTCAATAAATGATACAATAAAATATAAATTTTGGTTATAAAATTTAAAATATTTGATATTTTATTTTTGATTGAAATATTTTTTATCTAAGTATAATATTTTAAATTTAAGGTGATTTATTACAAACTTTAAGGGAGTCTAAATATAATTTATTAAACGATATATTTACACCAGGGTCTAAGTGTTATACATGTACAAACTTCAGGGAATCTATGCGTAATATTTCAAATATCATGAGTTCTGAGTGATTAAGTGACAAACCTCAAGGGATTTAGGTGTTATTCTCCCAAATAAATTTGGTTCTACTTTATCAACTTAATCCAGACATCTAATGTACGCACATATGATTCACTAAACTTCAATGTTTGTCAAGTTGTATGAATGGTTCACAAGCATTCAGGTGAGTGGCATCTTTAAACTTACGACAAAATAGGGATTTACTAGTCACAAGGAAAAAGCATATCCATCGGAGCAGAGTTTCTTACAAACAAGCTTACAAGTGGTTAAAGGGGAAAAGAAAAGAAAAAAGGTTCATGTACATCTCAATCTTTGCGACAAAAGACAATGATAGTTCAAAAGGTTAACTTTCCTTCTTGCTGCTTCTTTTACTTCTTCCTCGCAGTTTCACACCAAGAGCCCTCTCCAGTTTGGAAATTATCTGTTGATTTGGAATGGCCTTTCCCGATTCATACTCTTGTATTATCTGGGGCTTCTCATTGATGATCTGAAAAGGGTATAATCTGAGGACAGAATGCATACATATGAGAGAGAGAGAGAGAGAGAGAGAGAGAGAGAGACAGAGACAGAGACTGATTTGAGCAAGTTGAGACTGGGTGAGTTTCTTATCCATATGAGCCTGCATGATGTTCTTCTTCAGTTCGGTTGGTACCTTTTCATCTGTGCAGGAAGTTGAGACAATACAGGCCATCATAAAATACATAATTTAGTAAACAGTTGCAACAGGGCAACAACTGTGCAGAACCATATCAAAAAATAATATCGAGTGCATCACCCAAAGATTACTAGCACAAACAATGTAATTTTTTGGCTACAATGTCAATAGCACCAGCAGTAATAGCAGTAAGAGCTAGTACTGTGGAGATTTCAACATGGGAAACAAGGGTTTTGATTCTCCGATGATGATTGCAGACTAAAAGGACGAAAAATGTGGAATCTTTTGTCTCTTCCTGGTGTCAATCCATTTGCTACTGCTCAAAGGTTCTCTAATTCAACGTTTTATTGCTACTATGAACACAATTAAAATACCTACAAGTTCCACTAGCCACAGATACACTTTAATACGATAAAAGTACCGATGCTAAATCAATTGAATGACCCAAAATGTAAACAAGTGGTTCAAAATTCTGTATCAAGCCACCCTAAATGGGATGTCAATGCACAGTATATATCACTGATGGAATTCCTGTTACATACTGCAAATTTTTTGCCTGATGGAGGTGCTATGGTATTATGATGAACTAGGTCGCATCACCATAGAAAGCCCAAAACTAAAGTACCCAACACACAAGTCCAATTGGGGTGGGAAGAGATTGGCACAGACAGACAATTAATTTTATAGGAAGAGATTAGCACTCACGAGTAAGATTCTCATTGTCCTCATCAAGCTTCCTGGTGTTCGGCGAAGTGCCGCTAGAGGCAGCCTTGTTTGTGCCTGCATTTGCTGTGGTACAAAATAAAAACTATGAGCACAAGAAGTTGGCCAGAAATTAAAAATCTAGACAGAGCAATCAAACATTATTACACAAAGTGTCAATAAGCAATGCAAATCATATGCCTACAAATTAACCAAAAGAGACAATATTAAATATCAATCAGTGTCCCACACATGTTGAAGCCATCAACCATTACAAGGTGCATAGCCTCCTGCATACTTAATTATCAACATTCAGCTCCACCGGGTGGTCCTAAAACTACCCAACCAACCAAATCAAGCCATATGTCCCAATCATTTGGGGTGGGGCTATATGAATTCGTCTTCCCATTCATTTCGGTCATACGATATATTTATTTAAGTTAAATATTTTCATATTATTTCGTTCAACGGTATTTTAAGTCTACCCTTACTCCTAGTAAGATTAAGAAAATTTTTATCACTTTTGTTAACCGATACCTCTATCGATCTCCGCCAAATATGACCAAACCATCTTAATATATTCTCTCTTGACTTATCTTCGATTGGAACTACTCCTACCATTTCTCTAATACGATTATTTTTTATTCTATCTTTTCTAATTTTTTTCACATATCCACTTTAACATTCTCCCTTATGCTATTCTCATTTTGTCACCATATTATTTTCTAGTTACCCAATATTCCGTCCTATACAACATTATTGTCCTTATAAAAACTTGACTTATAATTTTATTGGTATCCTTCTATCACAGGATTTCCTTCACTTAAGTCAACTGACAATAATTCTATGAATTACATTGTCGGCAATCTCTCTATCATTTTTAATGATCNCGTGTACAAACTTCAGGGAATCTATGCGTAATATTTCAAATATCATGATTTCTGAGTGATTAAGTGACAAACCTCAAGGAATTTAGGTGTTATTCTCCCAAATAAATTTGGTTCTACTTTATCAACTTAATCCAGACATCTAATGTACGCACATATGATTCACTAAACTTCAATGTTTGTCAAGTTGTATGAATGGTTCACAAGCATTCAGGTGAGTGGCATCTTTAAACTTACGACAAAATAGGGATTTACTAGTCACAAGGAAAAAGCATATCCATCGGAGCAGAGTTTCTTACAAACAAGCTTACAAGTGGTAAAAGGGGAAAAGAAAAGAAAAAAGGTTCATGTACATCTCAATCTTTGCGACAAAAGACAATGATAGTTCAAAAGGTTAACTTTCCTTCTTGCTGCTTCTTTTACTTCTTCCTCGCAGTTTCACACCAAGAGCCCTCTCCAGTTTGGAAATTATCTGTTGATTTGGAATGGCCTTTCCCGATTCATACTCTTGTATTATCTGGGGCTTCTCATTGATGATCTGAAAAGGGTATAATCTGAGGACAGAATGCATACATATGAGAGAGAGAGAGAGAGAGAGAGAGAGANCTACGTATTTTAAACCTGGTGGTTCTGAAACTAAAAAACAAATTTAACAATTCTAGAACCCATAAAAGCAAATAACAAAACCTATATCCAAATAAACACCTAAGATACCTAATACTATGATTGCTTCTAGGTTTCATTTGTATGTCCTTCAAGTATACGAACCACAACAACTCAAATTGAACAACAGCTCCAAGAGATAAAATCAATGAAGAGAATTTTCCGCTACACATGCCAATAGATACACCATAAATTCATCGAAATCAAGTACTGGCTGTCTCACACGCAGAGACAGATGATGCATAGAAACGAAAATCCTGAAAGAACCACACAAGAAATAAAAAATAGGAAGCTTCGAATTAAATAGATAAATATATCTAGTAGAGAGAAGATCAATAAGAATCAAAACCCTAGCTGATTTAAAAAAGAGAGGATATGGAGATAGAGAGAGAGAGAGAAAGAGAGAGAGGGACCGACACTTTTTGCGGTTTCGATCTCAGCACCAGAACGACGGGCGGCGTTGACGGCTTTCTCATCCTTGCGAGCAGCGGTGGTCGGAGCTTTCTTGCGGATCACCACCGGCTCCCAGTCTTGTGTGATCGAACCGCTCATTTCTCTCTCTCTCTCTCTCTCTCTGTCTTGCTATCTGAAAAATCTCTCAGCACTTGGCGACTCTTTTTTGTTTATCTGTCTATCTGCTCTGCTCTCTATATTAGTGAAATTCAGGGGTTGTTTGTTTTGGAATGTTTTTGTTTGAATGTAATAAGCTTTATAATTGTAGGTGTTTTTTTTGAGAAAATTAGACCAGACTTTACCAGGCTCGTCATTTAATCACTCATATTTTCTGACATTTAAAATATTACACATAAATCTCATATAATTTATGCACACATAACACTCATTNTTTCTCTCTCTCTCTCTCTCTCTGTCTTGCTATCTGAAAAATCTCTCGGCACTTGGCGACTCTTTTTTGTTTATCTGTCTATCTGCTCTGCTCTCTATATTAGTGAAATTCAGGGGTTGTTTGTTTTGCAATGTTTTTGTTTGAATGTAATAAGCTTTATAATTGTAGGTTTTTTTTTGAGAAAATTAGACCAGACTTTACCAGGCTCGTCATTTAATCACTCATATTTTTTAACATTTAAAATATTACACATAAATCTCATATAATTTATGCACACATAACACTCATTNCAACTCCTCGGTAAATCTCATTTTTCAGACTGCAGAAATCAACAGCTTCCATAATCAGGAGGATAGGTATTAGCTGTGGTACTGCAGGAACCAACCCAAAAGTGNCTCCTCGGTAAATCTCATTTTTCAGACTGCAGAAATCAACAGCTACCATAATCAGGAGGATAGGTATTAGCTGTGGTACTGCAGGAACCAACCCAAAAGTGATTAAAGCGACCAAGAACTTGGTAAGCCTTCCCAAGAATTTATTGGCGATATNTCTAGTTTTTTAAAAAAAAAATCATAGTTATTATATAATTATACTATATATTAGAACAATACTAAAAAATTAAACAAGGGGTCAAGCTGTAATGGATATAATATCTTTTAATTTTAATTGGGCTAGTTTGGTATTTAATTTGGTTGTTTAAATGATCAAATTAAATTCTAATATATAATATAATTGTAAACTAATTATGATTTTTTAAGAAAAAAAATTAAATTTTTATTTTTGATTTTATTTCANAATCATAGTTATTATATAATTATACTATATATTAGAATAATACTAAAAAATTAAACAAGGGGTCAAGCTGTAATGGATATAATATCTTTTAATTTTAATTGGGCTAGTTTGGTATTTAATTTGGTTGTTTAAATGATCAAATTAAATTCTAATATATAATATAATTGTAAACTAATTATGATTTTTTAAGAAAAAAAATTGAATTTTTATTTTTGATTTTATTTCAATAAATGATACAATAGAACATGAATTTTGGTTGTAAAATTTAAAATATTTGATATTTTATCTTTAATTGAAGTATTTTTGGTTTAAGTATAATATTCTAAACTTAAAAGGTCTAAGTATTATATACTTATAAACTTTAGGGGATTTAAATGTAATTTATTAAATGATATATTTACTCAGGGTCTAAATGTTACGCGCGTACAAATCTTAGAGGGTCTGTGTGTAATATTTTAAATATTAAGAGATTTGTGTGTAATATTTCAAATATCAGGAAATCTGAATGATTAAGTGACAAACCTCAGGGGGTTCAGGTGTAATTATTATTATTATTATTATTATTTGTATGTTATCCCCAATTCCAAACACAATTGTTTATTTATTTATTTTGAGTTAGATAATTTGNTCTAAATATAATTTATTAAATGATATATTTACTCAGGGTCTAAGTGTTACGCGCGTACAAATCTTAGAGGGTCTGTGTGTAATATTTTAAATATCAGGAAATCTGAATGATTAAGTGACAAACCTCAGGGGGTTCAGGTGTAATTATTATTATTATTTTTTTTTTTTTTTTTTTATGTTATCCCCAATTCCAAACACAATTGTTTATTTATTTATTTTGAGTTAGATAATTTGTAATTGTTGATTAAAAAAATAATAAAATATAATTGTTACCTGCCCTAAATGAGCAGCAACAAATATCTCCTACACAAAATTGCCTCGTATTAGGAGGCAGCCTGCCGTGAAACTACGATGAGAAATGGATCCAGCTCTGGCCTAGGAGGTGATGGCTTTGTTCATAAGGCCCCCCTTCCTTTTCCTTTGACTGAATTATTTTTGGTTTCACAATAATTTACCTGCTAGTACAGAGATTTCTACGCAAGAGAGGTCTTTGACTTGATGAGATTATTGAGACATAATGAATTCTCTCTCTCTCTCCCGGGATATCAATTTCATTCTTTTCCTGGATATTCGGATAGATTTTTTTTTATCAACAAAAAAATGAGAGAGCCGACTAGTAAATAATAAAGTTTGAATGTGCGACAATGACGATCCCCTTACCGTGAGATATCCGATTTGAACTATAACTACTAATCCAGAAAAACAACCCGTCACCGCAACACTCTAAAGCCAATCAACAAATTGCATTACTTTCTGTAAATCGAATCCTATTTGATAATCACATAAGAGTCAAAGACGACCCTCAATGGGTACAATTTATCACTAGACCAGCTCAGATGATGATAATCAGATTAGATAATTATCCACACAACATGGATGAAAAACAGGGAAGGCTGCTAACAGCTCAACTCCTCGGTAAATCTCATTTTTCAGACTGCAGAAATCAACAGCTTCCATAATCAGGAGGATAGGTATTAGCTGTGGTACTGCAGGAACCAACCCAAAAGTGATTAAAGCGACCAAGAACTTGGTAAGCCTTCCCAATAATTTATTGGCGATATGTAACTTCACCCTATCTATACTTCTAGTTTCAGTGATGATATGCTCAATCTCCCCTTTGTCTGCTCAAGTTTTTGTCCTTTTCAAATAGATACGAGGAGAGAGAGAGAGAGAGTACATAAGAAACACAGTTGTTCATTACTATAGAGAAGTGTCACAGATTTGAATATCCACAGAGCAGATTGCACAAGTCAATACTTTAAAAAAAAAAAATAGGGGCTGGCATACGAATTTGACAGCTGAAAAGTTCCCCCGCTTCTCATTCTTCATAACTGGCAAAAGAGAAGCCTAATTCACTTGTATGCTTTTTTCCTTGCCTGTCCTTAAAGGAATGATCCTAATTAAAGAAACCAAAATCTCCTTTGTACCCATCAAAATTCAAACACATGCTTCTTTCAAAGAAACCTGAAACTTGGTGCAAACATAACAAGCGCATACCATCAGCAAAAATCAAAAACCACAAATAGTCGGTGCACACTTAACTAGAAGGCAAGAATCATCTCACCAGGTACCATCGTCTTTGAGAGGTTCCTGCACTACAAATATAGCCAATAGTATAGTTAGTAGTGAGAGAATTGAGTCAGTCCTCAAGGATATAGTTCAATCAATCTTCTTTAACTAATAGCAAAAAGGAGTAAAAACATGATTTATAACCACAAGTATTGGTTTCATTCCAATCTTACCAAGAATTACCCATCCGGCAATGCAATTTATTTTATTGCTTTGACAATGGACCTAAACTACATCTTTTCATGTCGGAATCAAATGTTGTCACAACTATGATGAGTCATGCAATAGTGTCCCTATGTTCTCCTAAATGAAGCTGTGTTTTGTTTGCACTTATTCCAGGTGGACCATAAAGTTACAACTCCTTCCTCACATGAGCAAAATTATAACCAAAAGCAGCAGTTGAAATTTCCTGACAGATATATAATGGCAAGAGCACGCTCTTATAAATTCTACATCTTTAAATCAAGCCAATTTTGGAGCAGCTTTATGATAATGAAACCAACCAGCGAAAAGCAAAGTGATTTTCAATGTAGCATACGCAGAAAGAGAACAAAGCTAAATAACAAAAAAGAGCATAACTAAAAGGCAGATCATGCAAGCTAGTGATCAAACATTAGTAATTATTGCTATCCCCTTGCCACGTGAATCACTCCATAAAATCAGTTGAATTGATAGTGTACCAAAAAAAAGAAAAAACAGAAAGTCCCATTTAAAAATGACAAATTAGATGCTCATATTGTATTTATACATAAATCTAGTGTAGTATAAACTAATTTGACAGGTTTCTTGAGAAAATATCAGGCAACATGTATAAGATATACAATATGTCCAACATAGAACCCTCTTGATCCATTTTTCTGGTAAATGAACTGAGAAGGTTGCACTAACAAACGTCCACTATTCACAACGAAAACCTCACCAAATACTACCAGAAAAGATTAATCAGATAAAAAATCATTCCCGCATTGAGATACAAAACAAAAAACTCACCAATCCATTAAACACTCCCTCTGCATCTCCTTCCACTGAATTTAGAACCCCCTTGTCAAGAGCTTGCATGCATTGACTAGCATCATCTACCGGTAAAGAATTCTGATGGACAAAACTCAGAAAAATCAAACAACATAAAATACAACATCATCCAACCCTGGTGCAATATAATAACCCCCCAAAACAGCACATATAATCTTAAAGGTCAAGAAAATAACAAACCTTGTGAACCATCGATTCACCATTATTGGACAAATTCACACTCAACATAGATTCTTTCTCCGGAACCACTTCACCATTATTGGATAAATTTACACTCAACATAGATTCCTTCTCCAGAACCACTTCACCATTATTGGATAAATTTACACTCAACACAGATTCCTTCCCCAGAAACACTTCACCATCACTCGCATTTAGAGAATCTACGTCGTTTATCTCCTCACCAGCATTATCAGCATTCCCCTGCCATATTAGTCAATTCAAGCTGCTAAAAACACTAGATATAATTGTATGAAAATGTCATATACAATGATACGTGTTTAGTACCTGCACAGATTTACCCACTTCACCATCATTAGAGTTTAGGAAATCAGCACTGTTTAACTCTTTACCTCCATTATCAACATTCCCCTGCCATATAATGTTTAAATCAACTTGAGCTGTTAAACAAACTTAAATCACTCTATGCAGATGTTATATAGAAGTATATCAGCTTAGCTACCTGTGACTCTCCAGATTTAACCACTTCGCCACCATCAGCGTTTGCAGTATCCACATTGTTTAACTCCTTACCAACGCGATCAGCATTCCCCTGCAATATAATTCAAAAGAAACTCAATATGATTGTATTCAAATGTCATACATAGTAATATATGTTTACCTACCTGAGACTGTTCAGATTTAGCCGACAGCATAACAATGGAGGGCAGCCGATCAATATCCCAACCAAGAACTTTACAAATTGCCTGCCCATAAGATCTATGCGCCCGCCTCTTCTTCGTCTTAGCTATTGACTTAGAATGCTGGACAAGAGCAACACAGTTCATAAATCTCTTCCCAACTTTCTGCCCAACCCCACCACACACCAAGCAAGAAAATTCACCATTCTCATAATTCTTCTCGTAGTAACTCTTCAACTCACCATCTTCCTTAAACACATTCAAGAAAAACTTGTACTCTTCACATCCATCATCACCCATCAAATCATCCTCCATCTCATTGTCCTCATCAGTATCATTATCACTATCCGCAGCCCATGTCAAGAATTCTTGAGTAGCTTTCAAAGCCTTTCTATGCACTTGATTCGCAGCAAATCGGGCTTGTTCTTCGGCAGAGGGTAACCGGGTCGTGGGAGTCCATTTGGGACTCAATTTTGGCCACCCGGAAGAAGTTTCCGGCGGGGCTTCGCCGGGGGGTTTGCAAGGCCATTCTACGTCGGAGACCAGAGGTGGGTCAGAATTTGGTGGCTTGTTTACGAGTTTTCCGCCTCTTTTGCCTCTGGGTCTCTGTCTTTCCTTCTTGAATTGTCTGGAACTGGAGGGTTGGAGGTGAATTGATGTGTTGGGGTTGGGGTTTCTACGGTTAGGGTTTGGTCTGGGAGGGCCTTGGCGCCAGAGAGAGTGGAGGTAGATGACCTCGTCTCTCAGTCTTTGTTCAGAATATGGATCCATTTGGAAGACATGGAAGAATTTTAGGGCTTTGAATTGGTGAAAGTGAGGGTCTTGGAAAGGAAAATGAAAGAACTGTTTAGAGTTACGTAGTTTGGAACGTAAGAGTCGCTGATCAGAGTGAACTCAGTGAAGTCATCAGATCAACGGGTCGGATCAGGTACGATATCGGGGTCAGATCCCTCCATTTCCTCTTTTCTTCCCTTCACTAAAATTGATCAAATGATTTAATTAATACGAAATTAATAGTTAAAATAATTAAAAAATTATAGATTATTTTGAAATAAAAGGTGAAATTTAAGAATTAATTATAATACTTACTGTGTCAATTTCCTAACCTTCAGTTCTGTTAATCCTAAAGGATCATGTAAGAAGGGGAATTAAAAAAAAAAAGAACCCAAAAATTGTAATTTATTCTAGAAATGTTATAATTGATCATAAATTTTTTTTATTGTATTACATTCCAAAAACTTGTATATTATTTTGGTTCACAAAATTTATAAATTTTAATATCTTATATCTTTCTATACCAGACTCAAATTCAACTTGAAAAGGCACAATTCTACTTAATTTGAGGTTAATCTAGCCGATTGGCATTGATGCTATCCAACCCAACCCCAGAACTTAGAATCGGCAGCCTGTTTGGACGGTACAAAGGGCAAAGTGGGAGTCGTGCCCACTTTTTCTTTTGGGCAAGAGCCATGAACGTCAAAAGATGGAAGACCGAACACACACACACACACACGTCTATATAATAAGGTAGTTAGGTGTTTAAATTTATGGGGGGTATATTTTTTTCTCCAAATTTCACATATTTTTTTTCCCAAATTTCANCGTCTATATAATAAGGTAGTTAGGTGTTTAAACTTATGGGGGGTATATTTTTTTCTCCAAATTTCACATATTTTTTTTCCCAAATTTCACAAACTCAACACAAATACTCCACAATACATAGTTACACATACTTCAATATACACTCACTACACACACACATTATATATATACTTCAGTTATATACACACACTCCAATACACGTATAGTATCATAATTTAATATTGAGTGACTTCAGTCACGGGGTATCGCTAGTATATATATATATATGATATAACGACATATTCAAAAATACCATAGGCTGTTCACAAAAAAGAGTTTATCAATAAAGTTAAACAATTCATTTTTGTGTAGCGTCGGGGAAGTGGGGCATGTCTCCCGAAAGATGATAATGCGGTCGTTAATCTAAAATTAATGTGTGAATCATCTTACTTCTCTTCCCTTATACCATCACATGAATGGATATTATATCCATAGAAGAGAGAGTACATATCCTTACCCTTAAACATGCTTCTTTGACCAAAAAAAAAATATTAACTTTTTTTTTCATGACAACAGTTGTTGATGATGCATAAATTAGTATTGCGCAAGATCAACAGTTAAAAACATGAACAAAAGTAATCAATGAGCAATAAATAGCGATTAATGGCAAAACAGTGAATAAGAGTCAACACAAAAATTTATAGTGATTTGGTTCAGATGACCTACTCTACTTTCAGGAACGACAGTGGTGGCTTGGGTCTTTTATTAATGAATGAAATCGCCGGAGAGTATTCTTCAGGAGTATTACAGTGTTTTTAGAGAGGAAGAGAGAGAGATGGGTGTGAGAAGGTGTAGTGTGTGTAGAGATCTTAATGTTATGAAGACCTCAAGATCCTCTACATGTAGAGGACTTATATTATATAAACACACCAAAGCGGTGAGGCAGTGACGTGNATGGGTGTGAGAAGGTGTAGTGTGTGTAGAGATCTTAATGTTATGAAGACCTCAAGATCCTTTACATGTAGAGGACTTATATTATATAAACACACCAAAGCGGTGAGGCAGTGACGTGAGGAAGGGGTCTTCCACTATCTTGGTAAGTATAACCTTAGTAAGAATGGATCTCTGCATCTCGATTCCGTTGGAGGATGATCTTGAGTTGGGCTGATTCTAATCTTGAGCTTAAACTTGGACTTGCATTGGAGTGGAGAAGAGGGACAGGGAGGCAAGTGATGGGCGGCGCCCTCTTGGAGACCACCTGGGTGGCGCCCCCTTGGGCGGCGCCCATTTGGGCAACCCCTTTAGGGATACTTGACGCCTCTTGATTCCTTTGATGCTTTGGACTCCCTCCTGATGGGTTGATCCAGCTTTGATTTGGGCTTTCCTTTGGACTTCTCGATTTATTTTTATTGGACCTGATCTAGTTAATTTTGGGCTCATTTGCCCCCTATGCCTCAAGCCTCTGACTTTTGTGAAAGGAAGGGGGTTGTGGGCATGTGCTTCGTCTTCATCGGAGTGAGTCGAATTTTTTTTTTGCATTTCCTTGTCTTTAGGACTCCGCTGTATTCATTGGCATCAAAAATTTTTATTTTTTATTTTTGGCCTGGGCGTTGGCCTCCTTTTTTCTTTTCCTTTGGTCTAGGCTGCTGGCCCCTTCTTTCTCTCTCTCTCTTTTTTTTTTCCCTTTCTTTCTTTGGCTTGGGGCCCCCTGGGCGTTGAGTCCACTGACTCCTTCCTCTTTTTCTTTTTTCTTTTTTTCTTTTTTCTTTCCTTCTTATTTGGGAGCAACCTACTTCTCTCTTTTTTTTTTTTTTTTCTTTGTTTTTTTTCTTTTTCTTGGCTGCTTGGGCGCTGCACTTTGCTTCCCCCTTTTTTTTTTCCCTTTGGCTTTTGGTTTGGGCGTTGGCCCTTCTCACCTCTTCTCTTTTTTTTTTNTCTTTTTTTTTTTTCTTTTTCTTTGTTTTTTTTCTTTTTCTTGGCTGCTTGGGCGCTGCACTTTGCTTCCCCCTTTTTTTTTTCCCTTTGGCTTTTGGTTTGGGCGTTGGCCCTTCTCACCTCTTCTCTTTTTTTTTTCCTTCTTTTTGGCTTTCTTCCTTGGGCGCTAGCCCTTCTCATCTCTTCTCTTTCTTTTTTTTCTCTTAGCTTCCTCGGGTGACTCCTGCTGGTCAAGTGAGAGGGTTTGTTGGGCGCCAGACGCTGGGTGGTGCCAGAGGGAGACTGGGATGGTGCTTCAAGTGATGCCAGAAGGCTGGTTAGGCGCCTTGGGCGACGCCAGGAGACCTTGAGCACTGCTGTGTTTGGGGGACGCCTTGAGTCTTACTATGGGCGACGCCTCTCTGGTGCTTGGTCACTAATTGACTTTATCTCTAATTATAGGCGCCCTGTTGACAGAGCGATGGTGAAAAATCTTTGTGCTTTTAGGGTGGTGTCTTCTCCTCCTCCTCCTAAGAGGGCGAGGTTTGATGCCTCCAGTGCTTTTCGACCAAGGTCCGATGATCAAGTTGTTTCCTGGGAGCGGGATCTAGTGGTGCCTCCATTCCTTCCCAGATTGAGGCTTCTGTGTGTATCAAAATTAGTCATTGTACCGTTGTAGGAGTTGAGACTCCAGTGTAATTTTTATGGGGACTGTGACTTCACCCTATTTCTAGTAGTGGCTCGGTTGTAGACGACTCGAGCTTCAACAGTGTGCTTGACAAAATCAATGTTATCTCAACATTAAAATATCTAACATGATTACCTGAAGAGAGGGGTAGGTTGTTTGTATGAGAGCAAAGTCGGAGCTGTGATCGTCCCGTGAGAGGGCCGCATGAGATGAGGTTGAGTTACGTATAACTCGAGAGATAACTATCATAGCAGAGGCTAGATAAGGCCAAACTTCTTTACGACTCGCGAGAGAGTGCGAAGCTGGAGATATAGGTTGCTGAAGAGCAGTTGATGCTTTTATACCAAATCAAGAAAGACTGATATTTTTATTCAAATCAAATAAAGAGAAACTCAAACTTTTACTCAAATCACTAACAATTATATTTCAATCTCATTTAAAGATTTAATATTCATATTTTCTTTTACTTAAATTTGAATTTATCATCTTTTAAATTTGAGTATATCATCCATTAAATTTGAGTCAAGCTTTTTTTTAAAATGTTAACATAAATTAAATGAAAATTTGAGTGAACGGTTAAAGATTTAGTCGTGGGGGTACCAAAATGCCATTATTCATCCTTATTATTTATAACTTTTTGAGAGGACCCCTTTGTGCCAAACTTCCAACACAGCGCAAGGGAAACCTTTACATATTCTAGAGACTCGTCTTCTCCATCTCCTTCGCTTTGTCAGCTTCAACATTACCATCTACATCTACGTATAACCCCTATCTCTTCGATCAATCATGGCATTTTTCTGTTAAACCCTGAAAAGTTCAAAGCAATGGCTCGACGAACCCACATGACCGAGCTAGGCTGCATAGCCTGCGACAACCTGGGCGATCTCGGCGCAGGCAGAGAAGGTTGGCTCGTCGAAAACCCTAATGTCCTAACAGCCCTCGATACCCACTCTCTTGGACTTGCGAACAAGTCTTTAGTCCTAGTCCTCGACTGGTCAAATGGCTCCGATCCGGGCAGTAATCAGGTCAAGATCTTACCCACTTTGTCTCCGATCGAAGCCGAGTATATCTCCGCAATTGAGTGGTTGGTTTTCGACGATGTAAGGGTTCTTGCGCTTGGAACTTCTTGTGGGTACCTGTTAATTTACTCTCTCAGTGGCGATCTCATTCATAAACAGGTACTTCATTGGCCAATGAATGCAATATATATCTGTGTATATTAATGGGTGTTTATGATAAGGTGGAATTAGCGTTTTGAAGCCGATTGATTGGTGAGGACATGTTGAAAAAAAATTAGAGAATCAATAAATGGTTTCTTTAGTGTGATTTCTGTGTGAGTTTGCTTAATGAGCTGGTTGGTTTATGGGTGAATACTGGGAGAAGGAAAGACATTGGATTTATAGCTTGGTATGATGGGAAAAAAAAATGAGAATTTGAATCTTGAGTTTAGTTTGGGTTCTATTTGGTTAGCGACAATTGAAAATAGTCCGCTGGTGCAAAGTTAGGGTAACTCTAGGCTAGAGGCCTAAAAAAGCTCAATTTAGTCTTTTCTTTTGGGTTTGAGGGCTAAATATTTCCCCTCTTCTGTGCATTCAATTAAGATTAAAGAATTTGAAATGTATACATTATATGGGTTTTGGCAATCGCTTAGCAGGAAAATAAGTGCATAGGACATTCCACGCCTCTATTACAACCATAAACCTATTAGGAATCATATCTAACTTGAGAAAGCTGTAACCTTTCAAAATGTTAATTGTAAAGGATTAACACAATATATTGAAAAGGAACAGAGAGAAGTCAAAAGCTTGACCTAGTTCTCATATATCATGGTATTTATAGTTAACTTACAATAATAAGAATTACACATATTACCCTACCACTATTAACAATTTACAGATACTACTCTAATACTCTTAACACTCCCCCTCAAGGTGGACTATATATATCATATAATTCAAGATTGGAATAAATCGCCATAAGATGTGTACGCCTCAATGCTTTGGTAAACATATCTGCAAGCTGATCTTTAAATTTCACAAATAGAGTTGTAATCTCCTCAGCTACTATTTTGTTCCGAATAAAGTGACAATTAACCTCAATATATTTAGTTCTTTCGTGAAACACTGGATTGACAGCGATATGGATAGCTGTCTGGTTGTCACAGAACAACTGTAAAGGAGGTTGAATTGAAAATTCAATTTCTTGGAGGAAATGTAGCAGCCAAGTTAACTCACTCGTCGTATGCGCCATTGCCCTATACTCAGTCTCAATACTGGATCTTGCTATCACAGATTGTCTCTTATTTTTCCATGAGACAACGTTACCTCCTAAGAAGGTACAATAACCAGTGGTTAATCTCCGATCAGAAGGAGAGCCAGTCCAATCAGTATCTGAGAAAACTTTCACTCTAAGATGTCCATTAGCTCGATATATCAGTCTAAGTCCAGGAGCTCGTTTGAGATATCGCAGAATACGAGTAACGGCCTCCCAATATGGTACTTTAGGACACCCCATAAACTGACTTACTATACTGACTGCATAAGAGATATCTTGTCGAGTAATAATTAGGTAATTGAGTTTCCCAACTAATCTGCGATACCGACCCAGATTCTCAAATAATGCACCATCATCCATTAATAGTTTTTGATTTAGATCCATACAAACATCAATCGGTCTGCCACCTAGCAAACCTGCTTTCTCTAGCATGTAAAGTATATATTTCCTTTGTAATAAACAAATACTCTGTTTAGATCGAGCCACTTTAATTCCCAAGAAATACTTGAGTTTTTTCAAATTCTTAGTATGAACGATCTTGCAAGAAGATTTTTAACCTGAAAATCCCCTCAGAATTATTTATAGTAATCACAATATCATCTACATAGACCACCAATAGGACATATCCAACATTCGTCTGTCTGTGAAACACAGAATGGTCTGTCTGGCATCGAAGCAGACCAAACTCTAAAATTGCATCTGATAACTTAATAAACCATGCCCCCGGTAACTGCTTCAAACTATACAAAGATTTCTTTAACCGACATACACTCTTATTATACTCCCCCTGAGCAGTAAACCCAAGTGGCTGCTTCATGTATACCTCCTCAACCAAGTCACCATGTAAGAAGGTATTCTTGACATCTAATTGAAATAAGGGCCAATTAAAATTAGCAGCCAAAGAAATCAAGATACGAACAGAGAAAATTTTTGTAATAAGGGAGAAAGTCTCTTCATATTCAACACCATTGGTCTGAGTAAAACCCTTTGCAACAAGTCAGGCTTCGAGACGCTCTATAGAACTATTCAGATGAAATTTAACGGTGTACACCTAACAACAACCAATAGTTCGTTTACTAGGGGGTAAAGGAACGAGATCCTAAGTCCCATTATAATGTAAGACATCCATCTCATCCTCTATAGCTTTCCTCCATCCCGGATCAGATAAAGCAGCCTGTAAATGATTAGGGATAGATATAGTAGATAATTGAGAGTTAAAACAAGAGAAGGCAGGAGATAAGGCATCATATGAAACAAAATGAGCAATGAGATGATTAATAACACACGAACGAGTACCCTTTCGAAGAGCAATAGGTAAAGAGTCGAAATTACCTGATGTACCAAGATCAGAAAGCGGTAAGGAAGACGGTACGGACACCTTAGTCGATAGTCGAGGACGACGAGAGTATACACGAAGAGGTAAAATAGACGATAACACAGTGGACAGTGGAATATCTGAAGATGAGGGAAGAGATAGTGATACAAGAGGTGACCCAAAGTCCAGATTCAAAGGTTGAGAAGGTGCTGAAAAATATGGAACAAATTTCTCAAATGTGACATCGGCACTAGTAAAGTATCGTCGCAGAGAAGGACTATAGCAACGATACCCCTTTTGTGTGCGGAAATAACCAAGAAATACACATTTGGTAGCTCGAGAATCAAGTTTATCAAACTCAGGACCCAAATTGTGAACATAACAAACACATTTAAAAACTTTAGGAGTTAGGAAAAATAAGGGCTTATCAGGAAAAAAGACAGAATATGAACTTTGCCCATTTAATGCAGAGGATGACATACGATTAATTAGGTGACAAGCAGTAAGAACAACATCACTCCAAAAATAACAGAGAATATTCATCTGGAATAACAGGGCACGGGTGACTTCCAACAAATGACGGTTCTTGCGTTCAGCAACACCGTTCTGTGGAGATGTGTAAACACAGGAAGTCTGATGAATAATGCTAGTTTTACTAATATAAGTTGAAAAGGGATCAGATTCATATTCTCAAGTATTATCAGAACGTAAAATACGTATACGACAACCATACTAAGTTTTTATTTCCTTATGAAAGGTCTCAAATATAGAAAATAATTCAGACCGAACTTTCATCAATAACAACCAAGTCACACGAGAATAGTCATTTACAAAAGACACAAAATAAGGATATTTATTAGATCAAATATTCTTTATTGAACCCCATACATCAGAATGTACCAACTCAAATGGACTAGACACATGATTATTGACTCTAGACTGAAATGACACACGGTGATGTTTAATAAGTTGACAAGCTTCACAAGACAAAGACGACATACAACTAAGATTGAGAACTTGACGCTTCAAATTCTGGAGAGAGGGATGTCTAAGACGACAATGTCATTGAAAAGGAGACAACGAGGTCTATAAAGCCCGAGTAGGTGAATCAAAATCAAAGAAATATAGGCCACCGATTTCATGCCCGTATCAATCTTCCTCTTCGTCTTGAGATTCTGAAAGATACAATAAGAGGGATAAAATGTTACAGAACAATTGAGAAAGCGGGTAATCTTACTAATGGAAAGTAAACTAAAAAGAAATTGAGGAACAAATAACATGGATGATAGGGATATATCAGGACTCAAGTGAGTACTCCTCGGACTTGAAACTTTAGAACAAGTACCATTAACAAGAGTAACACTACGTGTAGAAGTAGTAAACTGATAAGTAGAAAAAATATCAGATACACTAGTCATGTAGTCAGAAGCGCCAGAGTTTATGATCCAGGAACTGCTGGTGGAGGACAATAAATAAGTGGAAGTAATACCTGACTAGGCAAAAGTAGCAGTGGAGGGAGATGGAATAGCCTGTTGCTGGGACAGGAACTGGGCATACTCCTCTCGACCCAGTGTAATAGTAACCGATCCAGTGTTTGGTGGAACTGACCGAGGTATGGAAGCAACAACAGAGGTATCATCCTGATAAGAAGCCTGATTAGTAGCACTAAAAGATTTATCATATAAATTCCAATAAAAGTCAACAGTGTGTCCTCCACGACCACAGTGAGTACAGGAATGAGATCCATTACGACTCCCACGACCACCCGTACGACCTCCTCGACCACCACGACCTCCGCGTCCACCTCGATGACCATCACTATGGTTATTAGGAACCACAAGAGTTGAGCGATCAGTGGAGACACCATGATCAATGCCTGAAGGAGTAGACAGTGTAGCACGCTATAAACGAGAGAAAACCTCAAGCAGTGATAGAAGACTAGAACCACCTAAAATCTGAGAACGAATAGCCACATATTCAGGTTTCAATCCTACCAAAAATCTAACAGCATTCAGGTCCTTATGTTGCTTCTGTCAAACTGTTGCATCAGTAGTAAACGGATGGTAGGTCTTCATCTCCTCACAAACTCCCCGAACATGAGAGTAATAATTTGCAAGGCTCAGAGTACCCTACTCTAATCGGAAGTACTCCTTGCACACCTCATACGCACAAGTAAAATTACCTGTACCAGAATACATCGTAGTTAAGTGATCACATATCTGCTTGGCAGTGTTAAGGTAGAACAAAGTAGAACTAATACTTGGCTCAATGCTATTCAACAGTAAGGAAATGATCTGAGCATCCTTTTGTTCCCACTGATCATATCCAGGAATAGCTTCCTCGGGTTTAGGATTCATCAAATATTTCTTAAATCTTTTGCCACGAAGGAAGACTTGAGCGTACCGGGACTTTAAAGTATAATTGGTCCCATTAAGTTTAACGGAGGTCATGGGACCATTGATAATAGTCCGAGGGGTAGAGGTGGGTGGTAAAGCTGGAGTAAGGGACCCAGTATTCTGCTTGGGTTCCATAGCAGTGCAACAAAAAAGCAAACAAGGGGCGCTATAATGCTAGAACACAGAACTGGACAGAACTGGACCTACTAAGGCTGCTGGAGGACTGAATCGGACCACTTGAGGCTACTAGAAGAGGCTAAACCGGACCCCAAAAGCCTATTGGAAGGCTGAACTGGACCCCAAAAGCCTACTGGAAGACTGAATCGGGTAGATTAGGTGCACTGGATCAATGAACCGGAGTGAAAGATGACTGAACCGGTCTGAACAGGTTCAAAAACTAACTGAACCAGGCCACAGGAGGTTACTGGACCGCTGAACTGGAGTCACCACTGAATGAACCCGTCTGAATTGGTCTAAGGCTAATTGAACCCAGATCAAACCGGGATTGGCCAGGTCTAGGTTGCACAATGGGTTAGGCCTGATTTGATTGGGTTTAAAATAATATGAGTTTGGATCTTTTACCCAAACTCGTGAAGTTGGGTCTGGACCTTTTCTTCTTCACGATTAGGGTTTCAATAGCCCTAATCTTCGACTGCGCCTCGACCACCACAGCGAGCGACCATGATGACCAGACAGACCACCACGATGACCACACCAAAAGATGATCAACAGTACCACACCACCACCAACAACGGCAAACAGTACACACTTACAACAACCGTATCACTACCATCACCGTAGCTTCGACCACACCATCGCCACTAGAGACGATCAACAGTACACAACCACAACAACAATTGTATCACCACCACCACCACTGTAGCTTCTATGATCAACAGTACCATCACCACAAATCGAGTTAATTTATCCGAAATATATTTAGGATTAAACCATGCTCTGATACCATGTTAATTGTAAAGGATTAACACCATATATTGAAGAGGAACAAAGAGAGGTTAAAAGCTTGACCTAGTTCTCATATATCATGGTATTTATGGTTAACTTACAATAATAAGAATTACACATACTACCCTACCACTATTAACAATTTACACATACTATTCTAATACTCTTAACAAAAAATATAANAGAGAGAGGTTAAAAGCTTGACCTAGTTCTCATATATCATGGTATTTATGGTTAACTTACAATAATAAGAATTACACATACTACACTACCACTATTAACAATTTACACATACTATTCTAATACTCTTAACAAAAAATATAAAACCACCAAGAATAGTTTATATGTTATAATATTGCATTTTCATCATGCCCTTGACTATTTTTATCAGCCTTATGGGCGACCAATTGAAGACCTTTCATTTCCGTACTTGATTTTATAACATGAGTTTTTCGCTTGCTTGGTAGGCTTTGTGTATTATTATGATTCATGTTAGGCATTGCTTGTCTAAATTGACTGGGCAACATTACATTTCTGTTTTTTATTATTATTTTATTATGTGATGGACTGTAACACTACAATTGAGATGATTATAGTGATGATGGATTGTTTGTGTCTCAAATGTCCATAAATCTTCTTTCTTTTTGACTTTCTGTGTAAAATATACAAAGATTTGGAGCTTACTCTTCAATCTGGATGCCCACAGATTGTAAATCGCGGAAGGATTGTTAAGTTGAGGGTCCGTGGAACTAAGAGAGATCTGGTAGAAGACACGTCCTCAGAGGAGGTTTGTGTTGTTATGCCAGGTGTAATTGCTCGTTTTGATGGATCTGACATTCAGGTAAATGATATTCTTTCTGTTGGCCTTTGGTAATTGTGCTTGAAGTATAACTTCAAGCAAAGTCTAGTGTATTTAATTTTACAAGTGTTGCAATTTATAAGAGAATCAATTATTATCTTTTCATTTTGGAAACAAGTTTGCATTTTCTTTTTTCGTTCTTAATTATCAGAATTGCTCTTGTTGCCCTTCCAATAGTTGTTTCACTTTTGAACCTATTTGCTTTAAGTATCTTATAAATCAGGCATCTGATACATGTCTGTGCTTCATATGCAGAGTATGCTGCAACGATGGTTTAAAGAAACACGCACAGACTTTTGGGGTCAGACATCAAAAAGGAGGGATCCAGAGGATTCTGGATCTTCCTTTGGAAGGCTTCCTTACCAGTTATGGAATGTTAGCAAGTATGGATCGTGCGCTGATGCTGCAATCACAGGCATCATGCCTCCGCCACTGATGGAACTCCAGGTAGTAACTCCCGTTGCTGGATATTGTCAACTTACAGATTCTTTTCCTTTTCAAATAGAAGCCATGCTGACTGGTTAAGATTCTTCTCACCACAGATAATATATTGTTATATAATGTAGAATGCTTCAAAATTATTGTTTCCTCTTTCCTTTATTGCCTTGCTAGCTCCCCAAAGTCTATTCTATTATATTCTTCTCGTAGGTGCCTCCCTGTAGTTAATTGCTATTTTTGTTGCTAGTTGTATGTACAATGACTTGTGGAAAATTTCTGAAGTTATTCTGGTATTTGAATTCAGCTGCTTTTATTGTTGGGCAGTCAAGTCAACGTTACTATTGTGCAGTCACTATTGGAGATGATGCCGTGATTTCAGCATTTAGGTTAGTTGGGTGGTTTTTTTACACTATTTCATGCTTGTTATTTCTCTAATAACTATTCTCATTCATTACTTTTTTTTTGCAATTAAGTTTTTGTGGTGTTTTTTGTTTTTCTAACTGTGTCTGGATTTTGTTTGTCTTTTATAGACTTTCAGAGGACAGAAGCAGGTCTATAGTAGGAGCTATTCTATCAAAAGTTGTACCTGTAACATTTTCAACAATAGCTTCTTTCTCTAAAATGATTTGGCGGAGTGAACAGTCAACAGCTAAAATACCAGAAGCAAAGCCTCAACCATTTGCTCGAGGTGAAGTTGGTTACCCTCTTGTTTTTGTATTATATGTAAATATAAGATTCACATAATGCTTTAGCCAGGGTTTATGAATGTAAAAATGCAAAGATTGATGAATCATGTAAGTTGTGGTTCAATGCCTGCATAATAATCTTTACAGGCTGTGTATAAGTTTATTTTGTGACTCCAATTTAGCCTACCAACCCATTAAGCACATGCATGAACACGAAACAAGGGAAGCAATTTAGTTCAAGCCAAGGTGGTAATCAACTATGAATTGCTGAGTAAACTTTTTCAAATGAGATATAGTAATACAAAAGTATGTACGAGGCCAAAACAATTGGTAAACTAGATAACTTCTATAGGCAATGAGAACGAAAGCTTCAGGCTGTGATATCTATGGAGCTGATAGTGTTGACATCGTTAACTGATATCTCAGGAAGTAAAGGTTTGGCCAGATTTGAAATTCTAGCTTCAGAAATGGTCAGGTTTTGGTACAAAAGAGAAGATATAGAGCATATTTGAGCAGGTATGGAAATGGAAGTAAGGGTAAATCTCAGCGTGGCGTAGTTTTAGTCTGTCAAGAGCAGGGACAAGCAATGAACTGTGCTGAAATTGTTTGAACCATAAAAAATGACAAGTTAGAAGAAGAAGAGAGAGGAGACATAGAGCAGATAAAAGATGGGAGGACATGAACTAAAAGTAGAGAAAGAATGGCTGCTGCCTTTAGAATTTTCCAAAACTTAAACCAACGTTATGTTTGGTATTTAGAGAGAAGGCTTAAGATTCTCGCCCTTGGTTCTCCATAGCCTATATTCTAAGACCCTATTCAGTTCCAGAAAATATGAACTTCAAATATCCAAACGGAAAACAAAAATGATTCCTCAAAAAAAAAAATGCTTTCTTACCGAAGAGCAGACTTTAGTATTATCACGGGGGAGGTGGTGTGGGTTTGAATAAGGGAATAACATTCAACAGCTTTTTTTCTCAGTAGAAGCTCCATGGGTCCTACTGATGTTTATATTTGGATTTCTCCTTTTTTCCATTTCTGTCAACCAAGCTGACTTACTTGCATTACAAATTTGTGATATGGCAGCTTCCCCTCTGACTTGTTTGAAGGATCACCCAAGAAAGGGTGAGAAACTAACTTTATCACCCAGTGGTACTTTGGCTGCAATAACAGATTCGCTTGGTCGTATCTTACTCTTGGACACACAGGCACTTGTGGTGGTGCGGTTATGGAAGGTTATCTCTTGTCTCACATGGCATTGAATTCCTTTCAAGGCAACTAGTTATATTCCAACATTCGACTTTGCTTCTTTGCAGGGGTATCGTGATGCGAACTGCCTATTTGTGGAGATGTTTGTAAATAAAGATAAGGCAACTTCGAAATCCAGTTATTATGAACATGTGAAGAGCGATTATTGTCTGTGTCTAGCCATTCATGCACCTCGAAAAGGGATAGTTGAGGTATTTTTTTCTTGAATTTCTGCAAACTAATTCTTCTTTTTATTTTCAGTTCCATTGCCATATATATTAGCATGATTTACTTCACATTGTTAGCCTTTGTGGTTACTTGAAATAACAGTACGGGCAAGGGGTTAAAGCAGGAAGTAAGCCATGAAAGCAACTAAACAAATTCAACAATTAAAGCAGGAAGTTATTTTTTACATTGATAGATTAACGTCTGGCTAGACATATTATTTCTAAATGAAAGAAAAATGATACTCAGATATCAAAAGATCTTGCCATAGTGGTGTTATTCACAATAAGAAACAGAAAATGACTGGTTTGTAGTTGTATGAGAGAACAGGATATATTGTTTTCCTCTTACATAGATAGCAATACATTAATGAACTTGTGTTTGCTGGACTGTTGTATTGGCTCATATAACCAGCAATTGCTTTGATATCTTACATAGATACATGGACATTAATGAACTCAAATGCAATTACCAAAAATTAAAAACGATCTCAAATGCATCTCTAAAAGTTGGTTAAAAATTTGTACTATTAGTAACTTGAGTTTGTTCTTGCAGGTCTGGCAGATGAGGACAGGACCTCGTCTTCTGACTATTCCATGTGCCAAAGGTAGCAAAATATTGCAACCCACATATAGATTTGGATTGTCAATGGAATCTTCATCATCTTATATTCCCTTGGAAGTTTTCTTTCTGAATGGAGACTCTGGCCAATTATCAGTTCTAAATCGATCACTTCATTAAATTCTTTTGAACGCTCGATTTTCATTCTACTTATAGATAAAAGTTGGCCTGATATGCCCAATGCAATTCAGTCTGCCCACATAATTACTTTTTTTATTCGCTGCACATATGTAAGAATGATAATCACAGGCTGCATTTGGAAAATTGGAACGAGACTCAAGCTGATCTTGTTTTAGAGCAAATTGCATATCGACTTTCTTGTTTGAAAATGGTCTTTTTTGCCTTGGTTTTTGGAAATAATTTCCTGCAGAATAGAATGAGTTCGACCAAGAACATTGGATGATTGCTGCAATGTCTATTTCTTTCACTGAGATGAACATTTCCTTCTAAGCAACCAGAATATAAGCTGCAATACAAAGAGCTTTGGTCAAAAGTAATTGGAATGGTGAATCAGATTGTGTTCTTGAAGTATAATTCAGAGTCATCTTGTAAGTGTACTGCTTCAGAGGTTTGCCAAGGGCTAGTACCAAACTCTCATCTTGGCAAGAGAGTGGACGGTACAGGTAGGTCGCTTGGAATTCTGTTTCCTTCTACTCCAGCCATCGTCTTTATGTCCAAGCTGCGTGGATTAAGTATGACTCAAACCATGGGAGTTGTGTCCAGTGACCGATAAATTTCCACACATCAACCCTGGACTTGCCTTTAAATTCAGCTTGATCTCAGCTGGGAGAGAGAAAAGTCAGCTTGACCTGATACATATAGATCACCAGATTTTTGAAATGTATATTTTTCTTATTATTCAATAGTCACGGATGTTTGAGTCAGTTTGTGTATTTTGACTAATTTCCTCACCAGTTCGGTCGAATGTAGAAAATTCACATTGGGGTTTGGGTGTTGATGATTGATAAATTTTTCATGGTCTGACTTTAAGTGTTTGTCAAAATTCGAACTCAAATATATTCGAGTTTATAACTCTTACCATTTGAGCTAACCTTGGATTGAAACATATACTTTCAAAATTAAGTCCAACTTGTTTAATTTACTTTTGTTAGGAGCTAAGCAATTTCTTTTAAAAAAACAGAAGAATGTTTGCTAAACTCTTCTTTGTGAATCTGTACTATACGTTTATATATGCATATGTATATTGTATATTACTATACATATGATATAAGCTTGGAGGAAGGAAGGAGAGCTAACCCTAAGAAATAAAGCGTGAAAATGCGAAATAATCTTCACTCTCAGGAGTTTAAACCTAACAAGTAAAAAAGTACTAAAAAATGTTGTTTATAACTAGTATTCCGGTAACTTATTGAATTAATGTTTATTTACAATTAATTATGTTTATCTATAACTAGTATTCTGGTTGGGTATATATATATATTTTTGCTTTTTTTTTTTAAAATCTAAGATATGTAAATTATCTAAGAAGCAAGATTAAAACAAATATTTTATTACAAAAATTAAGGCTAATTTTATAAAGTAAGGTGAAATTAAAGATCAAAGTGTAAATAGGATGGTTTTGAGAAGTTTTCCTAAGAGATTTATCTAGAATGAGTATCTTGAAGATGCACTTTTTTGATAAGGACAAATTTTTTGGACGGTAAATAATTTCATCTCTTTGAAAAGTGTTAGCATCTATAGAATGCACTTTTGAATTGTCCGTCAAACACCCCCATAATATCTAGGCGTTAAGTGATATACTAATCTTGAATTTATCACATATACTCATTACGACAATCAATAATAAATATTCCATCTAAAAACCTTGAAGAAACATTAAATTGTCTAACTTTTCATTCTACACCTTATAGTTTTCAAGCAATTATAAGCCGCTTTTGGTCCTAGGATGGATGACCCTCGGGAAGTTCTTATGTTGTATCTTTTTTTCACTAACGTACTTTTAGTCTAATGGTATTATTTATCTTATGGAGGTTTTTACTTAGTCCAATAGTACTACTTGCCTTGTGAAAACTTTGTTTTCTTGAGGTTAAAGGTTCAAGTCCCCCTCCCAAAAAAAAAAAAAATGTATATGTGATAATTATAGTGTATATCACCACCATGGTGTAAATTGTGATGTTCTTTAGGCAAGTTAAAATTTTTTTTTTTTTGGGGTTAATCATAATTGCACTCTGAAAGGTCTCTGTGATAGACCTAATGGTCTTAAATGGATCAAATAAAANAAATTTATTTTTTTTGGGGTTAATCATAATTGCACTCTGAAAGGTCTCTGTGATAGACCTAATNATTTTTTTTTTTTTGGGGTTAATCATAATTGCACTCTGAAAGGTCTCTGTGATAGACCTAATGGTCTTAAATGGATCAAATAAAAAAGTAACCTTGACTCACGGGATCCATAACAACGATTCTCAATAGAGATATGCAACAGAAATTTCCACGAGAAGAGAACCAAGAATACTGATTATAATCACAAACTTGATTCCTAGTAGATTACATATAAGTTTTTCTAGAGAGTGAGAGATACTGTAAATGTGAATAAGAGATGAGGTCTCTCCAGTAATTTATATACCCTCACTAGTAACCAACTAGCTCACGTTAAAATAATCGTTCTCTCCTATCAAGGTAATTGACTATTTGTTAAACATTTTTTCTTGTACCTAAGACACTACTTTCACAAGGAAACTATCCACTAATCTAACCAATATTTGTTAGGTCTTTAATTAGAATATCCTTATTCCAAAATTTAAGCCTCCATCTTGTTAATTAAGGTCTACATGTGGGTCCCATTAAATAGGTTTCAATATTCTCCCACTTGGACCGAATTGACTAAGAAGTTGAAAGCAAATAATAATAATTACAGTAATACTAATATATTTTGGAAATAAGCAAATACTTGGATTTGGTAAAGTTATGCGCACTCTTTATCAAATTATCCCAATATAAGTGAGTTTAACTTTATTCTTGATTACTTGAGCCTAGTAATATGAACCATGGTGGATATACACCAATAAATAACATACATCATTTCATGATCACAATATCACCAAATTCTCGTAAATAAGACTTTAGACTAATTTTCTTTATAAATGGATTTCCCATAAAATCCATTTGTTGATCAAAATTTTTTTTGCTAAAAACATATTCGTATTACAAAAGATATAATAAGTAGAATAACATAATCATGTGATACAATAAACTGATAGTGTCTCCAAATGTTCTCCAAATGTGCACATANAATTTTTTTGCTAAAAACATATTCGTATTACAAAAGATATAATAAGTAGAATAACATATCATGTGATACAATAAACTGATAGTGTCTCCAAATGTTCTCCAAATGTGCACATATAATACATCAAATAATAACATTGTTCACTAGACCTATATGACCTACATGATATTTGTATAATCCTGGAACTATAACTTTGGTTATAGGGTCTGTCACCATAGTCACAGTGCTGACTTACTTGACTGACACTTTATTTTTATCACATTTCTCCTTTAGGACAAAGTATTTAATATTCATGTACTTGTTACTATTAGATACTTTGCCATTATTTATTGAGAAAACGGCTCTGGCATTATTATAGAACATCCTTATGGGCCTTGAAATAGAATCAATAGCTGTAAGCCTAATGAAAAAATTGTAAGAATTTTTAATGATTCAAATATAAAATTTATAACAACTAAATTAAAAGGTTTAGAATATACATGTGTGAGTCATGATACTTAATGTTTGAGTTTCTTTCGCAGAAGGATAAAGTCTTCCTCTCCTTCTTGAAGCAATAGGTGGGTGTTCTACATGAGACAAGTTAAATTAGATTATGAAGTGGAGAGGGACCTAGCCTGTTATTTATAATCAATCTAACGGGCTCTCCAATTACGGGCCACAATTAGATTAAGACTTACATTTATCTGCTTCAACCACATCAATTAAAGATATGTACATAAGCTCATCAAAATAAATCACTTAACAATATTGAGCTTATCTCATTAAACCATAAATTCAGTTATTTTTTTACAAATCCAAAATAAACTATCAATTAATGAAAGTCCAATATGAAAAATTTTTAACATTCTCCCACTTGGGCAGCATTAATTGTAGCCATTTAAAAAATAAAATAAAACAATTTGTTTGAAAAAATGACTCTCGCACTAATCAAATAAAAAACTCAATGTGGCCACAAAATAAATATGGTACTAAGACAACATCTCAAACATAACCCGATCCAATAAAACTACTATTTTCAAACTATTGACATGGATCAAGATGTGGTAGTGTAGCAAAAAAATAGCATCTCAACATGTGATATGATAAACATGTTATTTTCATTGTCAGTCTTCCAAATGATTTCTCTTTAACCAATTACTTTAACAATAAGTTAGAGAAATCCATTAACTGCAACAATAAACTAGTATGTCTCTAAACTTAAAATCTCAAGATTTTATTAGTGGTGTAATCAACAACATACTTCATTGACAAAACAGTCATATTTAAGACAAACATCAAGTCTTGAGATTGTATACAAAATGACATGTCATAAATGTGCACATATAAAATATAGCAATAATATCGTGCTAATAATAAAAATGATCATCCAAATATTTATTATTCATCAAATAGATCCATCTTAACCATAATGAGTAACAAATATCACATGGAATTAAATTAGTAAAGAAGTTCTTAATACATAAATAAACTCCCACTAACCAAGTACATAAAAAGACCCAAAAATGCCCATGTTGCAATATATTTCTTAAAAGCTTAGTCCAACATGTAAAAGTTACAAATTTTAGTCCCTTGGTTAAAGGATCAGCAAGTACTAATTCTCAATATGTTTAATCACAATGTCACTTTTCTTCATATGATCCTTGACATAAAAATACTTAATTTTCATATTTTAAAATTCACTATAATTTTAGTTGTTCTTTGAATAATTTTAGTTGTTCATTGAGAAGAACACAATTGAACTATTATAAAAATAAATTGTTAGTGGCCTAGAGATGGAATCAACAATCATAAGCCCTAAAATAAAATTTCTTAAGCCACATAGCCTGTGTTGCAGCTCCATAACAAGCTACAAATTCAACTTGTATAGTGGAAGAAGTTGTGAGAGTTTGTTCTAACACTCTTTCATGCTATTGCTCTTCCAACTAACATGAAAATATATTATGAAGTAGATTTTAAAACATTTGGACAACCAACAAAACCTAAATTTGAGTAACCAATCACCTCAAAACTATCAACCATTCGATAAACATGAATGCAAACTTTTGTTCTTTGCAAATATCTCATAATTTTCTTAACTACCACTCAATAATCTAATCATAGTTTAGAAAGACACCTACCAAGAACACTAACTACAAAGGCAATGTTTTTTCATAAAAGGGTTATAGATTTTAATATTAGCATAATAACTCCACATACGAAAATAGTAAAGATTTGGTTTATTGGGCCATAATTCAAAAAATATTTTTGAAACAAATTTGCTAAGAACTTTACTACGAATGTACAAAGTTGTTTTAATGGATTCTTCCCAAAGGTAATTAGATAAATTACACTTACTTATCATGTTCTTCATCATATTTTAAGGGTGTGGTTACACTTTTTAGCCACACCATTTTGCTCGAGACTATCAAATATGATATATTAGGCAATAATCCCACATGCTTGCAAGTACTTGGCAAATGGTATTAAATGCTGCCTAGACACAACATGTGTTGCCATAATACTCACAACCACGATCAAACCTAATAATTTTGATGACTTTTCATAATTATTTCTCTACCTTAGTCTTAAAAATTTTAAACTTTTCAAGAGCATCAATTTTTTTATTAATTAAATAAATATATCTATAACGATAGAAATTATCAATAAATGTAATAAAGTATTTATTACCACACAAGGTATG